GAGTACATACGTGCAGTCGTATATACGGTAGCGGTGACTGGAAGCGGGAAACTCGTCCGAATTTGCTTTCTGAGTCATGCAGAACAAAGGTCTTCATTTTTTCGATCGTCTCACTTCACTTGTTCGTCATTTTCCCACCATCTAGCACCGCTGCTACCTTTCTAGACCTAATACCGAATTGTGGTGCCTTAAAAGCCACGCTTCTCGATTTCTCGGTGGGAAGCTACTTTTTTTCCGCGAGAAAGTAGCTTGGTCCGCAGTGGTAGAGGTTGAACTATTTATGTAGCTAGTACTTTGCCCATTTTTCTTCACAACTACTTTTCCTGGCTCTTTGCCATTCCTATTCGCCCCTCAGTACCCATGTGGCTTTGCCTTCAAGCTTGAATCAGTGGGACTACAATTCTCTCAAACCACGATTTCTAGACCTGGATACGACTACCAAGGCGGAAGACACCCAAGATGTTCCTCGATAAGCAGAAGAGGCTCTCGACCATCACCTTCATGTACACCAAAATATGAAGCCATATGTAATCGCAGCCGAACAGCTTCACTGCCGAAACTGCGAAACTTCTTGTACGGATTCCCATGGACAGCTACCTGAGGACCAGCACTCTTGATCTGGAAGACCTCCAACATCGAGCAGCTCCGACAACGTCGCTACGGTCCAGGATATCATCTTCACCGCAGTCGCCAAGGCGCGGGTTGATGGTATGGACCGGAAGTTCCTGGAATGGGAAGACCGATATTTTCTTCGTATGCCCCGGACTGAAAGTGAACGCTGACTGTTACATCGACCAACTCGAGGAGAATATCCTCTTCATGTCGTCGCCTGCACTCTTGGAAACTTTGTACTGCTACAGGATTGGGTGCCACCACATGGAATCGAAGGGCGTTGGAAAACTCTCGCCTACTTGGAATCGAAGGGCGTTGAGTACCTGAAGAAGACGGAATATCCAAGTGTGTCACCTGACCTAAACCCCTCGATTACCGGGTTTGGGAGGAGCTCAACAGGGTGGTCTACAGTGGCGGAGAATCAACGACCTCGCTGAACTCAGGCACCGAATCACGGTCGCGTGGCAGAATCTCTTGATGGCACTTGCTTAGAAGGCTGTGGCGGAGTGTCGTGATAAGGTACAATATGTTGTTGAATTTGATGGTGAAAGTGTCCAATGAGAATTTTATAAAGTGTAACTTATAGAGCGTTGAAAGCCGAGGAAGAAAGTGTCTTTCTATTGCCCCACCCCTGTACTGCAGAGAACCATTTAATCACGATTGCTCCCTAAGGTGTTTCTTTTGCCTCTTCTCCTTATAAAGCCGTCATTGCGGTTCGTCTAATGATTTGATGGCTGCTCATCTGCCAAATGACACGTTTGTCAGGCACAATGTACGGCTTGCGTAGCCCAGATTATTGGGGATTGCCTCTTTTGTAATTTCAGTGTCAGGTTTCGGTTACGATTATATATAATTGCCATAATATTTATTTCTTTACTGTTCAGCCACTATGATACTGGGTTCAAGAAAAGACAACCAATGGCAGAAAAGCCTCGAGTGGGTTCGTTCCATGACCCCTCACAGCACCCTAACTTATTGCGATGCCATCAACTTTATGGTGTCATTAACGACACATTAACAATGTTTTATCGTGGCGTGCAGAAAGTAGCAGTCGTCATTATCGGAAATTTCACTACAAAGCACATATTTGACACATGTGCGTTTCTGCGGAAGCGCAACTTTCGTCGCTTTGCAGGCACCTCCCGATAAGCAAGCGTTCACGCATGGAAAAGCATTTAGCAGATTCCTCTCAAATTGTATAAATGGGATTATGAACCTTAAAAAACCCGCAAAAGTACTGAAGAAGACGGGAATCTCACCTTCAACAAAAGAGCAAAGGCTAGAGGTATTTCCCACTCACTCAAAGTTAGTGAATCGGCTCTACTGGCACATTTTTCCATGCGATGGACGTGACAATCGAAATTGCTGCGCAGTCGCGCGTGGCGCATATTGAAACAATTCGCGGCGACTTCTCGACGATTCACCTTCTTGACTAGGGCAACGAAGTTGTTGGGAACTCAGGCGGAGGGAAGACTCCATGCTGCGCGATACAGAGCTTCTCTGCCCTGCAACACTCTATTGTTATTGACCAGTCACAGCGCAGGCGCGACGCATCTCGCCACAACGACGAGTGAGGCATATTACTATTCTCTTGATATAAACCGCTAGGATTTCCATTGTCTTGTACATCGTCTGACCCTAGAGGTTGCTGCGTAATTCATATTTATTAACAAATATCTAGATAAACGCTGACAGTGGAAGTTGAACTATGGTGAGAGGCAAAACCGTGGTGTATTTCTCAGCATGATTGACTAATGCCTTCACTTTCAACTACAGAGTACTTTAAACACTGCTGTTAATACAGAAGAACGAGGCAGTTTGTCCCAGTTTGTCCTACAGAGTTTGTTCTTTTTCTCAAGCCCCACCAGTCTACGACTTGCCCTACGACTTGCCCCTGTTTTGGTATGTAGTCAGCAAACGCTTCAATAACTAAAATTGGAGTGCCCATGTTATAGTTGTCCAAATGTGGAAGGCGCTCGAATCCCCCTTAGGCTGCGTTTATACTTTGCAGCAGCGTCCACCAGCGACCATTAGCGTTCCGAGCGAAACGCTCTCAGCGACTAGGAAAGTATAGATATCAATCTAGCGAACGACAGCGTCTACCACCGTCCACCACCAGAGTCCTTCAGCAAGCATCAATGTCTCGAAGGACTAGGAAAGTATGGATATCGATCAAGATATCGATCCATCAGCGACAGGAGTACGATTTCATGAAGTAAGACTGTGCGGTTGCCCATGCAACCATTTCACGACCTAATCCAGCTGTCTCCTCCCTCCTATTTCTCCATACTCTACCAGCAGTCTGCTGCCATCCTACTTTCCCATTTCTCTGCTCTTGGTCGCTGGTGGACGCAGGTATACGCTGCCCTGCCGTTCGCTAGACCTACATCTATACTTCCTTAGTGGCTGTTGCTAACGGACGCTGGAAACGTTGATGGTCGCTAGTGGTCGCTGTGGGAGCTGGTACATAGTGAACGCAGCTTTATTTC